ATGTGTGCCACCTATGGTGCTGCACTGACAAATTGGGATGACCTGGCAAGAAACTATTTGTGCCCATCTCTATTTAGAAGGCAGAAATCAGGATTCAAAATTATCTTGATATGACAGATAATTGAACCAAAATTAATAAAAATGAAGTTCAATGGTGGTAAAAACAAGGTTATACCAGAAGAGTACATTATAAAAAGATGGCAGTACATATAAAGAAGATGAAAAAAATTCTGTAGGTTCTGACCTAAATATGATTCAGAAGTACAATGCAGCAACTAAGAAAACTTATACAACACTAGCATCATCTATTGTGTCTAGATCATGATAAGAAATGGTATATTTCTCTTCTGCTTTGATTACACTTCACTTGGAGTACTGTATCCAGTTCTGGGCACAGCACTTCAAGATACGCATTGGTAAGTTTAAACAGGACCAGGGGACAATGGCTCTGAGGAGCAAGCCTTTTGAGAAAAGATTAAAGGAAATTGTATATGTACTCTGGAGAAGAGAGAGTAAATAGATATTCTGAAGGTCTACCACAGATTTGACCCAACTCCGGGAGGCAGTGGAAAACAGGAGGGCCCGGTGTGCTCTGGTCCATGGTATCACGAGGAGTTGGGCACGACTAAACAACAAACAACAATCATAGAGATGATGGAGCAAATCTCTTCTCAGATCCTCTGTTGCCCCAGAGGGTAAAACCCAAACTACGGAGTTCAAATTACTTGAACAAGGATTTCAACTAAACATTGGAAGGAAGCTCCTGATGGTACAATCTGTTCAACAAGGGAAGAATGGTTTCAGAAGGTTGTGGACTCTTAGAAGGTGGGAAAAGTTTTAAGTATAGATTTAGTTGCTGCCTATTAGTGAGCTATAGTAAGGGATTTTCTACACCAGCAGGAACAGATGACTTTTCAGATCAGTTTCACCTCTAAGATTCTTACTGTTTCCTTAACTTTAAGGGGACAAACTAAGTTCATGGTTGTTTCTATTCAGCTCCACTGTGCTAGACATAATTTGGTGCACAACTACTGCATGCTAAATAAAAAAAGAAGAATCTAATTAGATCATCATCATACTTATTGCACATTCTCTCAATTAGCATACCTTTGAAAATTCTTATTTAAATATTTTACAAAGATTTACACTGGCCATTTCCCAGTTATCAGCATTATACTGTACACTTTATGTTTTCTGATATAAAACTAAGAATCTTTGGGCTGTTTTGGTTTTAAACCCAGTTTGCAGAAGATGTAAAAGCTTCAGACAAAATACTAGCCTAGTTCTTGTATAAAGCAAAAGTAACAGAGACCTCTTCTTTGCAGACAAATTCTAGAACTTCTTAATTATGTGCAGACTTATTATCTACATCCCCAGTGTTATAAAGTACCAGAACTTCATTAGAAAAATTAAGCTCGAAAAATGAAGGCACCACTTTGTAAATTTCCACTGGAAATTAGTTAGAAGAGGCAGAGGAATACTGGATCAAAAGAGGGTAATCATGCTTAACTGTGCCCTAGAGCACCCGCTTGTATAATACGATTTGCACAGTAACTACCTCTCCTATTACTGCTTGTTTGGAGCATTCTGTGTTAATGGGGTTAGCTAATTTAGTATTTTAACTTAAAAAGGCTCTGCTGATTAATAAATGTTGCACACTGTGCTAGTAATTAAAATAAATGGAAGAGTTACAAATAGAAGTTGAATTGTTAAGAAAACATTATCTGAAAATATATGATAATCCCTATTTATCATAATACAATAATAGTCCAGAAAATATGCAAATAGCTAAAGTTGCAAAGCATATGAAAAACTAGGCACAACTTGAAAAAAGTTTCAGATGTGTTAGATTTGTAAGACAACTCAGTGTCCCTTTCTGCAAAAAAAACGACCCATTGCTTTTCAGACTTGTAAATATACAGTCTAAATCTCAAAGCAGCCTGATGGAGGGAGAGTCAAGACATACCTGGAAGGATCATCTATATCAGTGGTTCTTAACCTTTGTTACTCAGGTGTTTTTGAACTGCAACTCCCAGAAACCTCAGCCAGCAGAGCTGATGTGAGACATACCTGGAAGGATCATCTATATTATATTTGAAAGAGTGCAGACAAAATGGTTCTGAGGGCATATTTCACAGGACTTGATGAAGGTGGAAGTTGCCTACACAGTGCTTTGACACCACTTGCTATAAGTTTTGGAAGGTGAGTGAGTTAAATACAAGCTTTTCATACTTTGCTTCTCCTCTCTGCTCTTAAGTAAATCCCATTGGTGGATTTTGCTTCCCTGCTCCTTGAAAGAGGCAACATGTATTGTGAAAGTCTAGGTGACAGTAATCTTTCGAGTTGCTGGCACAGTGGCCTTACTATCATAGAGAGTGAGGACGCTGACTTTGCTAGGAAAGAGCAGTAGTGTCTTAGTTACGTATTCAGTTGCATTTTCACTGTAACACAAGGAAAGAAGTGTTTGTAAGATTTTTTTTTTCTGCTGCAGGTGTCAAAACAATTTTGCTTTCCTTGAGTACTCTGCCTCATGACACGGATGACACGGGGATGGAAGATCGCCATTTGTTCTTTTGCTTTAGGCAGCAAAATGTCTTGAGCTTGCCCGAGCTTCTGGGCACACTCAGATGCACACACGAAGCAGCAGCCAGACAGGCCATCTACCTCTGGATCTCTTGCCAGTGCAAAATTTTACAGAGATTAATAACACCAAACTTTCCTTTACAGCATGGCCATAATTGGGTCAAAGATGCCAAAGTTACATTAACTGAATTTATTAATTTCAGTCTAATAAAAGAAATTTGCATTTCCTGAACACACTCAAACATGCACAGATTCCTTTTAGGGACAGGATTTCTATGACATATCATATTTTTTCCTGCAACTTACGTTTGAGCTTATGAGTGGATTTGAACATGTTTTTGAGTAATCTGGTGAGAAAGGCCAGATTACTCATAAACCTGTTTGAACTTGCTTATGGGTTCAAGTGTAGGTTGCAGAGAAAATGTGAGATGTCATAGAAATTCTCCCTGTACTCATTAGTATGTTATCCCATATTGTCAGCTTGCTTGCTCTTCAGCCTACTCTTAAGAAATTTTCAGGGGTAGATTTGAACATGTTTATGAGTAATCTGGTGAGAAAGGCCAGATTACTCATAAACCTGTTTGAACTTGCTTATGGGTTCAAGTGTAGGTTGCAGAGAAAATGTGAGATGTCATAGAAATTCTCCCTGTACTCATTAGTATGTTATCCCATATTGTCAGCTTGCTTGCTCTTCAGCCTACTCTTAAGAAATTTTCAGGGGAGCAGCCATGCTGGTCTTCTGCAGCAAAAAAACCAAAAACCAGATGTGGTATCTTAAAAAACAGGAACTTTTACTTGGTATATGCTTTTGTGGATAATAGCTCACTTCTTCTGATGCATCAGCAAACAAAATTTCTGATGCATTGCTTCTTGGCCTTTTGGCTAAGATCAAGTGCAGGAAACGACACTTTCTAGTCTTCAAGGTGCTGCAAGACTGTTTATTGTTTTCTGTTTTGTATTTTTTTAAAAATGCTTGAAGATGCAAAAAAGGTCAAAATATCCTAATTCTTGAATACTCGAGAACCTTGGATGAACACAGCTTCTACTCAATCATTTGGAAAGTATAGGGAGAATGCATGGGACAAGGGAAGTATGCAGGAAACGAAACTTTCTAGTCTTCAAGGTGCTGCAAGACTGTTTATTGTTTTCTGTTTTGTATTTTTTTAAAAATGCTTGAAGATGCAAAAAAGGTCAAAATATCCTAATTCTTGAATACTCGAGAACCTTGGATGAACACAGCTTCTACTCAATCATTTGGAAAGTATAGGGAGAATGCATGGGACAAGGGAAGTGAGTCATCTCCATACTCTCCATTACTGATTGCTATACATGGAAGTGACAGTCTCCAAATGAGAATATTGGGACAGATACAACAGCCTCCCCCTTTGAATTCTGCATAGTTCAAACAATGGCAGAAGGGGGATAGCTTGCTCCCTGCATTGCACATGGTCTCTATACATTTTCAGAAAAATATTATGTGTAAATAGAACAGGATTATGTGTACCAATTTTCAGTTTTTTGGGTAGTATAGAGTAAGTTTTTCTCAGCTGCAGTGAGAGCAAACATGGAATTAAATGGTTGAAAGAGTTTCTCTCCTGGGGAGAGCTTTCTCTGCAGCCAACCAGTGGGAGAATTAGATTAGATTAGATTAGATTGAACCTTCTCTGTTGTGACACCCTTGTTGTGGAATATTCTCCTTGGGGATGCTTGATGGGCATCAATGTTTGCCTTATTTCAGTGCTAACTCAGAACCTGGGTCCTCATTAAAATCTCTGGGAACTAAGAAGCATGGCTTAACTAAGTTGTGAAGTTCTGTTAGTGTGCATGTAAATTGTTATTGACTATTTAAACTTGCTCTAAATTATTTTGAATAATTTAAAATTGTGTGTAGGGTTGCAGAGTTTTTGTCTCCAGCTTACCCTATGATCTTTTCATGCAGAGAAAGATATAAACATTTTACTGTATAAACAGTAGTAAACTGATCTTCCAGTCAGTGATTGAACTAAGTCTGGAGGAGAAGTTTCTGGCAGCTGATTTCCCTTTTGGCCAAAAATGTCTGACATCCTTGATGAAGATCAGTGCTATACCATAACTTGTCATCTGAAGAAACTAACCTAGCTATTTAAATGGGATTATTATAGACTAATAGCACAAATGTTAAATCAATCCATACGAAATAAATTTAGATCTAAATTGATTTAGATCCTTTCAACCTCAATAGAGCTAAACAGGCTTAAATCCAAGTATTGTAGCTTTCCTGGGTTTAAGAAAATATTATGCTTAGAATAGCTTCCACAGAGTGGTTGCTTTAAAACCTTTTAGAACTGCCAGGTTTTTTTAATCTCTTAGCCATAGCAAAAGAAACCAATGGATGTAATATAGTAAAATTAAAGCAAAAAGGAAAGCAAAAAACTTACACATCGTCATGTAACCGTTTTCGCCATTCTTCTTCTTTTACTTTTTCTCTGGCAAGCTGTAGTGACATATCTGATGCTGCTCCCTGCAAAGATGGCTCCAAAGGCTTGTAGCGCTGCTGCAGTACTTCAACGGGGTCACGAAAGGGACCCTGATAGGACAAGACAAAGAGATGTGTTTTATAATGGAGCCGGTCATCTTTATTTTGTTTTTTAAATTTGCTACCAATTCACTGATGTTGGGAAATTTCTTGGGAAATTTCATCCCAACAGCTCATTAGGCTCAGTATGGTCTACAGAGCTAAAAATTAGATGCAGGAATTGTCTTCTGAGGAAGAGAGAGAATTCTACTCTCTTCCCCAGACAATACAATCTAGGGGATTCTCCTTAGGTTCTCCAATCCTCCATGTAGGATAGACAATGGACTGACAGACAATTAGATAGATAATTAGAAATGGACATGAATCAGATCATCCCAGCTTGTTGTAGTTCATAAAGCTGGCGACACAGGTGTTGCTGCTCTCTCCTCCGCCTCCTGTCTCAGTCAGCCACTCACCAGACGCAGCGTGGTAGCTTCCTGCACCTCTTCAACTGATCTTCCAGTCCTGGCAACAGGTCAGGCTTTTCTGCCCGCTCTCTTAGCTGATCTCCCACTCAGACAAAAGGAAGTCTATGCTCTGACTTGTGACTGGGAGATTAACTGTGGAGGTGGAAAAGACAAGCAAGCTGGGCCTGGTGACTAGCTGAATCAGGTGAGGAGGCAAGGGAGGAGAGTAGCAGCATCTGTGCTGCTGCCTTTATGAGCTGGGATGAACCAGTTCATGCCCATGTCTAGTTGAAATAAAATACATTAGCTATGTAGTTAATCATTATTTAGATGCTAAGATAGAGCTTTACCTTACCAGTCTTAGTGATCCCTAGTTGTCATGGGCACTGGCCAACCTGTTTGGGGGTTTTGTTAAAGTTGTAATCCAAAAATGTAACATTTCTAAGCACGATGTGAAAATACAACCAATGATTAACCACAGAGATAAAGCACTTTATTCTGATAACTTCCAGATGAGTAGCCTTGTTATTCTACTCCCACAAAAACAAGAGTTGCTTAAGTTTTAAAAGGACTCTTTCTTTTTTGTGTGTGAGCAGAATAATTTTTTGCATTTGGTTCATCTTTGGATTGTAAAGGGCAGAAAACATGGGCACAAATGTTTTTCAATGAGAGCACTCTCTTTTGATTATTTCAATCACTTTGTTTACAAAGCAACTGACAGTATAATGACACTATACACATTAGCTGAATTCCTCTTCCATAAGTTTATACCATGTAAGGCTGATGAAATCCCCCAAACTGCAATATAGCTGCATGAACAGAATTTTAGTCATTTATTAAGAAGTAAGCCTCAGGCTGTTATCTTTCTCTCTCATAGTACTAGAATAAGCTCCTATGATCACAACAGGACCTATGTTTGAGTAAACGTGTAAGAGTGTATTTTTAGTGTTGCTATCCCATGCAATGCTTTGTGAGCATTAGGATACTTTATTATATTCCTTCTTCTTTAGCTTCTGGAAAACACTCATCTTTCAGATTCCAGAAAAATTCTGATAATGTCCCATTCTTATTTGAAAAAAATGTTAATATGTTATTAATAGAGATGGGCACAAACCTTGGTTCAGAGGTTCATGCCAGTTCATAAGTGCGCCTCCCCCATCTCCCTGGCTGGGTCACCCCACTCACCAGCTGTCACATGCTTCTCTCCTCCTCCTTGGCTGTTTGACCAGTCTCCGGCAGGAGCATGGGCTTCCCTGCCCTGCCTCCTTGGTTGATTGCCTACTCAGACAAGGAGGCAGGACAGGCAAACTCCTGCTCCTGCTGGAGACTGGCTGAACACTTGAAGAGGAGGAGGAGAGGAGTGTGTGCCAGCTGGTGAGTGGGCAACTGGCTTAGGAGGCAGGGGCAGGGAATGTGTGGCACCTGTGGTGCCGTGCATGTGAACTGGCACAAACCTCCAAACCAAGGTTCATGCCCCTCTCTATTTATTAACATAAATAATTTAAATAATTCAAATAAACCAATTAAGAACTGTATTGGTGGTGTTTTCATCACTCCTTGATGAAGATTATAGCCCAGAAAGGGATAAAAGAGTACTGGCACTGACTATGCAGATAGTGTAGGCAGGGATGATTTGATGTCTTAAACTATGGTCTCCATTTCAGAGCTGCTAGAAGAACAAATTTCTTAGGAGTCTAGAAAATTTGAGCTAGACGGCTTTAAACTGAGTCCTGTTGGGGACGGAGATGCTATTGCAGAGAACAAGGCAACACCAGATACTGGGGACCAGACAGTCACTGATATACCTGACACTGGAACTGGGTATAGTTACTCACCACCTGATGGGAAAAGTCAACGGGAAAAGATAATAATGGAACAGCTTTTCAGTGTCTCTACATCAATGCACGGAGCACAAAGAATATGAGCTTGAACTCTTAATGCACTACATAAATACTATTTAATGGGCGTTACCAAAAACCTAGTGGATGAAATCCATCATCAGGCTGTAACTAGGGTGGAACAACTGGGTCTTTTCTTTTTTGAAAAGTGCAAATTGGGGGAGGTCACCACATTCTTTTCCTCCTAAACAATTCCTATGAGAAAGAAAAAGGGGGAAATATCTATAAGAAAATAGGGTAACTGCATGAGGAGCTTTCTGATGAGCAAAGATTTAAAATGGTTGTTTATAGGAAATGGAAAGGGGACAAATCATCAGGGAAGAATGCAGCAGGTGAATAGACAAGATTTGTAGGGAGGACTTCACGTAAAAGCCAGAATGAGTTCAAACTTAGAGAGGGTAAAAATAGCAAAAAAGGTATTTTGGCTAAACATGGAACAAGTGATCAACTGCATGCAAAAGATGGAGTCAATACTTGCAGGCAATGGGGAGGTGGAATGGTTTAAACACTTATTCTGCCTCAGTCTTCTCCCAGAACAAAATGGGCTCAGTCTAGCACAAGCAGAGCAAACAAGACATTGGGAGGCTGCTGCTCAAGATAGGTGAAGAGGCAAACAGGAAAACACAGCTACTCTAAATGAATTCAAGTCTTCAAGACCAGCCAAACTGCTTCCAAGAGTACTGAAGGATCTTGCATGCATCATCTCAGGTCTCTTACATCAAGAGAAATATTTAGATCAATAGAAGTAATGGTACAATTCTTATTTTTGCTTTGGTCAGACTTCTTATGGAATACTGTGTCTTGTTCTGGGCACAAGTTTATGAAGGATATTGGTGTAGGGGAGAGTGACCAAGATGGTAAATGATTCAGAAACCACACCTTGTGAGAAATAGTTGAAGGAGTTTGTAAAATCCTGGAAAATCCTGCAGAGCTGATTTTCAGTCAAGCCAGAGGCCTCAGGGGAAAAGAAAGAGAGATATATCACTCTAAAAGATGGGTATTAGTGCAATGTTGGCTTTAGCCAAGGATGGCAATCATGTGGCTTATGGGCAGCTTGTGGCTCCTAGACAGTTTTGTAGCTCTGGGGCCCTTCAAAATATTTGTAAACTTTTTAATTATTTTTTAAAGGGAGAATCATAGTTCCAGGAGTTATGATTTCCTTCCAAAACAAGATGTGACCCATGCACTTTATTGTACCGAGAGAGAGAGAGAGAGAGAGAGGGAGAGGGAGGGAGAGGTAGGCAGGCTAGTTTTCTATCAGTCTGGAAGTAACCCCCTGGTCATTTCCAGTTCCACTTGGAAGGATGGTCTGGCTTGCATATCATCCTGGGGGTAGATGTTCCCAGAGCCATGGAGCCTGACACCTAGATAATGGAGGGGAGAGTCCTGTTCATTCCTTGCTGATATGCCTGCTTTCCATGTGCTGTGTTTCCCTGAAAATAAGACAGGGCCTTATATTAATTTTTGCTCCAAAAATGCATTAGGGCTTATTTTCAGGGGATGTTTTATTTTACAGTCATGTCATCTTCTGGTTGCTGCACAATGCTGCACAATGGTGAAGGGCGGGGTTTCACTTAACTGGGTCTTATTTTGGGGGTAGGGCTTATATTACGAGCATCCTGTAAAATCATACTAGGGCTTATTTTCAGGTTAGGTCTTATTTTTGGGGAAACAGGGTATAAATGATTTTGTGTCATAATTTTGTGCATACGTGCACAGAGGATGTGAGAATTTGAGCCAGGCAAGACACCTAATATGCTGTTTTTGAGACCTATTCCACAGATAACTGGCAAAGACAATGTCATCCAGTACTGACAAAATGATTTATATAATCTCTTGCTTTCTGGTAGCAATCAGTATGAATTCACCAGGAATATTATTAACACCATAACTCAACACAATTTCCAGCCAACTCTGAATTAAGTTGAGTCGCTAATTACAGCTTGTTTTCCTTTTTACCATGATTGTGCACCCACTGAGGTAGAGAAACAATCCAAAAAGAAAGAAGGAGGGGAAAGAGAGGTGGGGGCAAAAATCCTAATCATGCCTCTTATTCTGAAGGATCTCTTTCTTTAAATAGGTTATCACTAACAAGTCACAGCTGGAGTTACTGCAAGAACTGAGTGAAGACTGCAGGGCTAATAAAAAGAAATGATTCACGCCTCATTTATGTTCACTTATGTTTTACATTAATAGAAACCAATAATAGGAACCAGTTACCATAAAAGTCATGGACCGTAAATAACACAAATGGCAAATAAGTATCATCTAGTACTTTTCACAGCTGGACAGGAGGATTGCTATATTTGAAAGTTGTTAATGGATTTTTATTGGAACTTTACTTTTTAAAGGCATAGCATTCTAAATATCAGATATCTAGAAAAGGAGGATGCAAACAATCACTGTAGTTACTCATTCTGTGCACTTCCCTCCCCCCAGCAATTGTCTTCTAGAACAATTATGGCCATAATAAATTTACTTTACTGGGACCACTATGGAGCTTTTAAGGGTATGAAAAAGAAATGCAGAAGCCTACCATGTTTCTTAGAAATAATGAATGCAATCAAGTAATTGAGTCAAAATATTATTTGCTTACATTATCTAGGCCATTTGCAATTAAGACCATAAATTGAGAAAAAGGAATTAGCCATGACCTCATCTAGCTGATTGGACTCCTCAGAACAACAAATGGGAATGTGTATGCATATTGGAAAATTCAAGCCTTTTCAATTGTCCTGTAAGCCTGTTATATCTCTGTTGTTTGCTGGTGTGTTATCAGCACACAGAAAAAAAAAGACTTTAATGCCGATCCCACATGATCTGTATTCTGAAATGCATGCTATTAGCAACTTAAGGGACACAGACCTGCCTCCTCTGTTGGAAAGAGTGGAAACTCTATACTCACATGGATGTTCACAGGTGGATACTTCAGCATTTCCTTTTAAAGTGATTTTCTTTCATACTCTATACATTTATATCGGAGACATGCATACTAAACAGGAGTCAGAAGTGTACATATCGGCTGGGACTCCTCCCACCTAAGAAAGAAAGAATAGTACAGTGTTCCCCAACCTGGGGATTGTGACCTCTGGGGGGGGGGGAGTTTTTAAGTGTTTTTAGGGGGTTTTGGGTCACCTTATACAGTATGTGTTGTAGTAGCCTCTGTTAAAGAATAGTACAGTGTTCCCCAACCTGGGGATTGTGACCTCCGGGGGGGTGAGTTGTTAAGTGTTTCTAGGGGGTCTTGGGTCACCTTGTACAGTATGTGTTGTAGTAGCCTCTGTTAAATAATTTCTTCCTTGACCTTTTGGAGTGGGATGTTAAAGTTAGTGTGCATGTGCATGTAAGAGAAACAGACCCTTCAAGGGGAAAAGAAGCCTTTACTTTATGAGAAGGGATGACTTTGCCCCATTAAAAATGCTTTGTATACAGATGTGGTGGTGGGGTTGCAGGTTACTTGGCTATTATAAAATGGGATCACAAGTCAAAAAAGATTGGGAACCTCTGGAATAGCAGTAGATCATAATCCAAGCACTGTTACTGGATGGGGTAAGATCCTTGTTTTGTAAGGACAAATGACCAAGTTGGAAAAAAACCACACTACTGAAGAACATTTAGAGTGGGAATACTGGGATTTGGAATCTAACAACACCTTGAGCAGAGAGAAAGGCTCTCCATCCTTGGTCTGAGCACTGAGTTTTCATTTTCACTTTTGATGCAGTATTCTTGTTTTGTGGTTGCAATGTTTTTAAGAGGGTCTTTAGGTCTTTGATGGCATTAAGTATTGACATTTCTCCATTTTGAATGTACCATACACCTTCCAAAAATATAGCTAGCTCCATCTTGTATACTGAACCAGTGTGACATCCTAGATTTTTGCAGCACAGGGCAACATAACAATTCAAAAGCCTGTTTCAATGCAAAATCTGTAGGGTTGGATCCTATCCACCTTTTGACTTGGAGAGCAGATCATAAAAGAGAAAAATAATAAAGCAATGTAATTGCTCTTATTAATGACCTTTAATGAAGAGATGACTAATTTCAATATCATCTTTGCTTCCATCAGTCTGTAATTCTAGTTAATTCAGCAATAAAAGTCATAGATCTGACAGACCTTATATATCAGCAGCATGAACACTTTTCTCTTGGATACAGTCTTTCTAAAAGGTAACTTCTTCCTTTGCAATGTTAAAGTAGAATTTCTCAAAGTGAATCCCAAAGGATAGCTACATGTTTATTCCTTCAAAACTGGGCACAAATACAACTATTTTAACACTCTCCTTGAACACGTATTTGGTATCTTAACACTCGCATGGAGTCTAATGTGTAAAGTACAGAAGTTTAATGTCAAATACTGCTGTCACAGAGTACTAAGCCACAAGGATGGCCAGTAATTATAAATCCCTCATTGTCACACCACCAGACCACTTTCAAAACAGTGCTTTCTGCTGGATTTTTCATTTCCAGCTGTTTCATCAGCTCAGACCAATGTCCTTTCCAGACATATACCTTTCCTAGACATATACCTCTAAATTGTGTTGCCAGGGATTTAGCCGTGTGACTCCCATTAACATCAATAAGAGTCGCGCAGTTAAATCCATGCACCGTACTTTGAAAATTTACTCCACAGTGCACATCCCAGGGCACTGAAAGGATTAAAGTATTATAAAGCAAATTCCCTCTTCAAGGCACAAGGAAATAAACAGAAGTCTTCAGCTTTGTTCTGGAAAGCTTTCTTCTATAAGTTTCTTTGTGTCTAGACTAAAAACAACAACAACCATACAGAATAGCTCAAGAAAAAGAAACTTATCAGATCAACACACAGTATAACAAACAGTGCTTTTACAAATTCAGCATTGGATTTGAAATATACCCATCATGCTAAGGAACAACTAATAGGTTTGAACTGTCCACTAAGTATTACAACCCAGTTGGAATAATTTTAAGTTTGTAGCTTTCTATAAAAATGCACTTTTTCTTTTTTAATTTTACAACATTTATGGGGTTATTATATAACCATGTGACAAAATATTTTTTTTCTGGAATGTACATTGACTGTTGACTCCTTTATTACCATTATCTCTTAATTTGTGAAAAATACTGGTACAGTTTATTTGAATGAGAAGCCAGTGGAGTCCTCAGTGATTGTTGTGCAAGTGAAGTCCATTTATCATCATTTAATTTTGTGTCTGAGATTGAGAATGAGACTGGAGGGAAACAATATAAAACATTTACGATTCTGCTTTCTTTCTAATTACTGAATCCAACTTAGAGCTTTGTAAGGGCTCTAGCTAGCACTCCACACCTATTCAGATTTATTCCAAAATCAACCTCACTGAGTCCCCACTGAGGTTACATATAAGTTATATATAGAACTACAACCTAAAACATACTGAACTCAGTATATGGAAGGAATATACCATTATCCTATATGTTCTTGAGTATCATGCTTTGGAACATATGCTTATGAAACTCTGTGGCTTTTCCCAGCATTGAAATGAATGTGGAGTCCCATGTGAACAGTGGTCCCACATACACACCTGTCCCATTTACAGGACCTTGTCCTCAAAGTTCCAGCCATGATCCTCGCCCTCAGTGTTCTTATCTATCAAGAGCTAACAGCTATTTTTTTATTGACTGATACACTTGTTATCTTTTTATAAAGACAGATAAAAACAGAAAAATATATTTCAAAAAAGTGTTTCTCCAAAAGTTAAAAAACAACCAATTTCATGTTAGGAGATATAAAGCGGCTGATATCTAGAAAACTATGGAAAAGGTTGCCATAAATCAGAATTAATTAATGGCTTGAGGGGCTAGAATCCTATTGCTGACTGACATTTTATTGTATTTTAATTGAATTTTAATTGTTGTAAGCCACCCAGAGACCTTTGGGTAGAGTGGGCGGCATATAAGTTAAATAAATAAATAAATAAATAAATAAATAAATAAATAAAGAAAGAAAGAAAGAAAGAAAGAAAGAAAGAAAGAAAGAAAGAAAATCATGTAAGTCTTTGCAGCAAATTGCTGGTCATTAAGAACGTGCTGGTGGTGTTCCTGGGCATGCTTCTCATCTGAAGCATGTCCAGGAATGTAACAAGCAGCTCATTAATAGGTGACTATTTGCCATTAAGACTTACATTTCTCTCGAGCAAGTGTAAATTGGCAATAGGAATTTATATTTTATGCGCCAGTGCAGAACATTTTTTCTCAGAAATGAGAAAGGAAAAATATTTTGATCAATAATGTATGTTTTTAACAGAATAACAATTAAGGCTCAAGTATATCCAAAATTTTGCAACTGTTGTCAGTCTCAGAAATGTCTGCCTAAAGGTCATTGGCATACATTACCTGTGGTCTTTGTCTTCCAATAGGAGGAAGAGCTGGCACTAGCTGGAAGCCAAAAGAATCTGTATTGGTTTGCCACTGAGGATCTATAACATCCTTCTGGAATCGCTTCTTTTTTTCTTTCATGGGTTTAGCCTTCCTTAACTGTAACTCCATTGGATCTGGTGACATTTTGTAGGGTGAGTTATATATACCTGCAATCTAAAGACATTGCAGTGTTCAGTTTGTACAGTTTTCAAATTCTCTGGCTTGACACAAACTGATAGTCCCAAACAGAACAGACTCACTGAAACAATGGATTACCATAATGGTTGACTCATTATGTAGCAGCAAATTCAATGGATCTACTAGCATCTGGACAGAGGCTTCTGCAATTTTTAGATGTGCAATCTAATCAGCAGAAATAATTTCAAGAAAAATATCTTAAAATCTCACTATGACACTGGGCAAAAAATGAAAATACAGCATATTATATTATACTGTATGTTATTCTTATTATAGTGGTGCCCTGCTTTACGATTACCTCATTTGTTATTCTTATTACAGTGGTGTTCCACTTTATGATTACCTCACTAAACGACAAAATCGCTTCACGACGATGTTTTTGTGATTTGTTTGATGATGATCGGTTCCCTGCTTCAGGAATCGATTCTTCGCATTACGACAATCTAAAAACAGCTGATTGCCGGGTTTCAAAATGGCCACCCGCTGTGCAAAATGGCTCCCCGCTGTTTTTAGGATGGATTTTTCGCTTAAAAGGGATCGAAAAATGGCTGTCCTATGGAGGATCTTCACTGGGCGCTGAGGTATTTCGCCCATTGGAATGCATTGAACTGGTTTTCTATGCGTTTCAATTGGCTTTTTCCCCCTTGCTTGACGACGATTTCGCTCTACAGCGATTTAGCTGGAACAGATTATTCTTGTCAAGTGAGGCACCACTGTATTATTTTAAGAACCATATGCACAGCCTATTTGGGTGTATCCTTTCCTTGCATAATCTGAAAGTGCAATATATAAAGCAGAGGATTTAATAAGGAGCTACATTTTTCCCTTTTACCATATTTACAAATATGTAAACATATTTACATGTTTAAGAATATTGGTAGTACTGAACCAGCTTTTTCCAGGGAAGCATCTCTGCGTTATCGACCATGTCACTGAGGGACTCCTGATCAACTTCCAAAAATTCTAAGGAGGGTTTCCTGAAAAACTGTTTGAAAACCATCCGTTATAGGATCTCTGCAGATCTTATGCTGCCTTCATCCACTTGTAAGACTGGGAGAGTTGGAAATCTTTCTAGAAGTCAGCAAGGGTCCTCGTAATGTTTGTCACCTATGTCAAGTCCTGAATCCAAATTTCCTCACCCTGGGCAACTGAAGACAACCTGGCTAAAGATGATAGCACAATTCACCAATTTTATTACAACGTTCCTATAATCTATTGTCAAGAAGTACAAATTTACTTAAATGTTGTGTGCAGTTCCCCAAAGTATATGCAAAGTCCTCCTTTTGTGCATGCAATTTCATTTACAACTGAGGATGTTGCTTCCATGAGGTTCTTCATATGGCACCACATGTGCACACAAAAACCTGTGTCTATACACTGGCACAAAGTGCTATGCCTTAGTACACTAGGGTACTGCGTATGTGGGCTGCGTATGTAAGTCTTCAAGCCACCACATAGAAAAATAAAAAGACACATGATTGACAAGTTATTTTAAAAACATAATAGCTATTTCACGGCAATCATCTTGGCCTCTTGAAGCACGTTTGTGCTCATAACCTCATTTAGATTTGGCCTTCAATATCTTCTTAATTGCTAAGAATTCTTGAATAAGAGGAATGAAGAAAGCACTGGAAATGTATTGAAGCAAATGTAAAGGACAAAGTAAATGTTTACATTGTTGAATGTGCTGGTGATTTTTGACTCTAAAAGAAACTTAAAAAGAGAGCCCAGCCACTCTTAATGTATTAACCTCTTGGGAGTGTGTGGATGGCATGCTCCCCAATTAGCTATAATGCAGTTTTCATTAGTGGGTCCCATAGGAAGAGTCCAACACTTGGTGTCAAAATGTTAAGTGAGCTTTTATCTATATATTGCCATTAAAAAGTATTGAACACACTCCTTTATCGGTGGTGGGGATTGGGAATGAGGTCTGGACAAAAGCGACGGAAGAATCTTTCATTATTTGTTTTATGTTGCTTTATCCCCAAAAGAAGGATTTGGATTTAGAATACCAAAAATGGTAAAGAAATAAAAGTGAAGTGAAATAATTATAGTTGATCCAGAAATTAAGGCATCAGCCATTGGACCAACTTTTGTGAACAGTGCCTCCAGGTACTCAGTCACAGTGAGCAGTGGTTAATTAAGCCATCACCATGAAAAGCCAATGCCTTGAGATAGAGGAGACTGACCAAGAGGTCTCTGTAGCTTGAAGACCTATTCTGCCCCCAAACTCTGCCTTATGTTGTAATTGCCAATCAGAGATGCCAGTCTGGGTTCCTTATGGAAAACTGTGGTATGATGATAACCATTGCAAATATTCATAGCACTGAAATGTCAATGGCAATGGAAAATCATTATATTCTGTTTTCCAGGTATTCTATTTTCCATGACTAAATAGAAATGCAAAATAGCCCTCAGACCTTGGCAGGTTTGGAATGCCAGAAGGTGACTGTAAATCTTCAACTTGAAAATTAGATTACAAACCTGGAATATATAAATATCTCTGAAGTAGGGAACAACCACAACAATGTAAAAGAAATGAACAGAAAGAACATTCAGATCCTTTGAATAAATGAAGCTTGTTGGCCAGGATCTGGCTAGCTACAATCAGATACTAAGCATATTACAGTGGTGCCTCGTATTACAACGTTAATTCGTTCCAGCGAAATCACTGTAGAATGAAAACGTCGTAATGCGAAATTAAAAAGCCCATAGAAACGCATTAAAACCCGATTAATGCATTCCTAGGGGCTTGAAACTCACCGTTCAGTGAAGATCCTCCAGAGTGCGGCCATTTTCACTGCATGTGCAGCGAGGAATCCATCCCAGAAAAGAGCGGGGAGCCATGTTTTTTACCTGGCGGCCATTTTGAAAACGCCAATCAGCTGGCCGAAAATCATCGCTTTGCGAGAATCGGTTCGCGAAGGAGGGAACCGATCATCGCAAAGTGAAATTCCCCCATAGGAAACATTGTTTTGCGATCGCTTTTGTGATCGCAAAACCTTCAACGTAAAGCGATTTTGTCGTAAAATGGAGTGCTCGTAATGCGAGGCACCACTGTATATTTTATTTGGGCAGTAGTGATACACAGTACTGTTATGGAATTCTAGGCCTAAAATTGGCGGACGTAGCTGTCACATTTACAAACATCAGTCCATACTGATTCCAAGTAATGCTTATATAACTAAAAGGAAATTTTGACAATATATGCTCTAATTGCTGAACAATGCATAGAAAAATTCTTTGAAGAATTCACAGTTGTAATAAGACTTACAAAAAGTGACACTAAATTCCATAATGAATACCCAATATGATACAGTAGATAGATGGACTACACCTCAGGAGGCCTTAGTTCAAATCCCCACTCAGCCACAGAGACCCACTAGGGAAGAACTGTCAAGCCACTCCTTAAATATCTCATTTACCTTGAAAGCCCTATTTAGGGTCGCTGTCAGTCAGTTCAAATGTGATGCCACATAACGTAAATTTCATAATGGGGTTTTTAATGCTAAGATGAGGAAAGAAGCCCAAGACGCTTTTGTATAAAAATATGAACTAGGAACATGAAATAGCAAACATATTATACAATTCTGAAAAGAAAATGAATTTTCCAGGGTGGTTTGATTTAAATCATGATTTACATTTTAAAAATCAGACTGTTTTGACAATTAAAATTTAAAAAACACAATTTTAAAAATATAAATAGAGATTTAAATCAATTTATTTTTTAAAAAATCATTGATTTTTATCCACCCTGCTTGTTACCATCACCACTGCATTCAAATTAACAGCAAAGTTAATATATACATGGTAAACAACACATTATTACAATACGATAAGGAACCACATAGAGCAGAGTTCCCCAACCCCCGGGGTCCACAACATGTCCCCCCAACTGGTCTGCGGTTGGGAAAAGGTTGGAAACCACTGACATAGAGTATATTGTAGTTAATCAAATACACTGTAACACTATTAAGAGCCTCGTGGCACAGTGGTTAAACTGCTGTACTGCAGCCAAAACTGTGCTGACAACCCTGGGGTTCAATTCCAGTTAGCTGGCTCAAGGTTAACTCAGTTTTCTATCCTTTTGAGGTCAGTAAAATGAGTACCCAGCTCGGGGGGGGGGCGCGCGGTGGCAATGTGTAGCCTGCATAATTAACTTTTAAACCGTCTAGAGAGTGCTTGAAGCATTATGGGGCAGTATATAAGCAGCAAGCATTGCTCTTTTTGCTTTAAGTTAGTGAAAATGTATCATCATTATCATCATGGTAGTTCATCTCAAATTAAAGCATATATAAAAGAAAAAGAGAGAAAAAACTGACAGTTAAACAATTAAGTGATTCAACCACTGATACTGTTGTTAAGGAGGAGATTAATGAAGGCATCAAAAAGACTATACATATAAATAGCTCAGATATAAATGGCACTTGCCCTAAACTCCTGCAGTGGTGGAGGCAGCAGGGACGGGAGGCAGAGGGCAGCAGAGACAGCTTTGGAGGACCGGCTTCCAAAGCCGCCCTGACTGCCACGCTGGGGGCCAGCTTCCCAGGATTCCAAAGCACCGGCAACCCGCATGGCGGTCGGGGCAGGAGGGAACCTCAGGAGGCCTCCCACGGTGGCTGTCATGGTGGTGGTGGCTGTCATGGTGGCAGGGAAGCCCAGGCTTCCCCAGAGGCAGTGGTCATTCTTTTGGGGGTATTTTTTTCTTCTGCCAGAATGGATTAATCACTTTTCAATGCATTCCTATGGGAAATGCTGCTTCGATTTACGAAAATTTCGAGGTACAGCCACCCTTCCAATACGGATGAATTCTGTAAGTCAAGGCACAAATGTACCTACAATTTTTCCCCTAAAAAGCATGGCCAAATTTACAAGAACAAAGAAGGCACACAAGCTGGATTCAGGAGAGGATTTGAAGCCACAGAAGCACCATTCTGTCCACAGGTACTTGAGGAGAGTTGTCATGACATGAACAT